CACCACTGCCCCCACCCCAAAGGCGCCAAAGGCACCCGGTCCCGGAGCAGCCACGCGCGGCCCGTGAGCCTCGCCACGAGCGGGGGCTCGGAAGAGGAAGACAAAGACGGCGGGGTGCTGTTTCACGTGAACAAGAGCGGCTTCCCCATCGACAGCCACACCTGGGAGCGCATGTGGATGCACGTGGCCAAGGTGCACCCCAAGGGGGGAGAAATGGTGGGCGCCATCAGGAACGCCGCCTTCTTGGCTAAGGTCAGTGGCTCTGAGAGAGAGGAGGGGCGGCAGGCGGCGATGGGACCATTTCACCCTGCGCACAGAACAGAGAAGCAATTCCCATTTTCCTGGACCGGCTACCAACTCCCTTCCCCTTCGGTGTACCTGTCGCTACCCGGGCCCCCTCCTCGCCTGCTTAATTGAGATGTTTTTAGTGGAAACCTTATAAATGGGGGAGGGAAAGACCCTGAGTTTGCAGCACTGGGACTCTGCCAATGTTTTTTTTCAGTCTTTGGGCCAAAGTCTATTATTTATTCACCCCTACCTGGCCCCGCCTGCTGAAAGGCTGCCCATAGCCCCGCATACAACCAGTGATACAAGAATGCTAGACTTCCCACCCCGCTGTTTTTTCCCCTGGGAGTTTTTTTTTTTTTTGCTTCTCCCTTCACCCCCCACTTACACATGATTTATCGGGCTATGAATGAATTTGAAATTACCCAGTCAGATTGCTCAGCATGAATCATTTCCAGACTTTTTGCCAATTTTTTTTTTTTTAGTGACAGTGACTTTCACCTTTGAAACTTGCAAAAACAATGAGCTGCCTCTCTTCCCAGCTTATCTGGGCTCCAAGGAAAAAGAGGAGTTTGGCTCCAGCGGGGAAAGGGGCTTTCCAGTACACACAATAAATTAGTCTCACCGGATAGAGCAAAGGGCCTGAGGAGAGAAACACATTTTCCTTGGGTAGAGGCCAATGAGCTGTGTCCACAGCTAGGATCTCACCAGTAACGGCAAAAGGCCCTGGGATGGAGGTGTGCTGGTGGGAGTGGGAATGAATGGTGTGTTGTGTGAAATGCAGTGCTGTGTGAAAGGAATGCAAACTGGGGAGGACTGCCGCGGAGCCTTGAGCGACAGCTCGGCAGCAGCTTGGAGCGTTTCCTCTAGACCTGAGGGTGCTGGCATGGCTGAGAACATTCCTGGGCAGGGCTAGGAATGCCAGACCTGAGACCTGGAAGGCCTTCTGGTTGGGCATCTGGTCAGGTCCCCAGCTGGGTGACAGCTGAGCATCCAAGCCTGCAGGCCAGAAAGCTGTGTGTGCCCTTGAGGAAGTAGCCTACCCAATCAGCTTGCTGCTGCTGCTGTCAGGAGTGTTTTAGCACTCTGCTTACTGGTCAAGAGCTCCATTCTGTCCTGCCAGCATCTGGCCTGCTTTCATGTCCGCTCTCGTTACTCTTGCTGAGTGCCTCTGAGCGTGAGAATGTGCTTGGTCCTGGTGCACAGCTCTGGCTTCAGGTTGTTTCCTCCCCTCAAACTGGGTGTTAGGTGTTGGGCTGCTAACCTCCCGGTTGGTGTTTGAACCCACTAGCCTCTTCCTGGGAGAAAGATGAGGCTGTCCACCCTATCGAGGGTCTCCGGGCATCAGACTAGACCCTGTGGCAGTGGGTAAGTGAGGAACCAAACCGGGCTCGCCTCCGGGCCTGGAAGAGAGGGATCTATTTCCTTGTCCCATGCCGCTTTTCTGACTCAGCACCCTGGGCACTCACCCTGCTCCTAATTGTGCTTCTGTACAGAGACCCCTTTCTCTGTGTGGGAACCATGGGATTTAAGAAGGGAGATGGTTGCCCACCTTCAGCAGCCCTCTCCACCGGCACGGCCCCCAGCAGACCATCCATCCCCAGGCTGGCCCGATTTGGTTAGGAAACTGAAGACTGAACCGAAATCGTCCTTTCTCCGCACAGCTTCCCAATCTCACCTCCACCATGCTCTTAGGACAGAAGGGATGTGGAGTAAAAATCAAGTAAACGAACCCTAAATGCACTAGCCCTGATTCTCTTACCTCTAACTGGGTCAGGAGGTAATTACTTAAAAGCTCTGGCCTTAAGTTTTCTCATCTGTCAAATGAGCATAGACCAGAGTGCATATACAATTCTTCCTCACTAGTGAATTCCTGTTTTTTTTGGCCCTTGATGTTTTCTGGTTTTGTGTCATTAGAGGGTGACCAGATTATGAGCCCTGGGAACTCTGACCTTCTGCGTGTTTCTTGTTATTTTTCTCTGTGTACAGGCAGCTTTTCTTCGCTACCCCTACCCTCAGTCCCTTTTTAATGTCATTTCCAAACCACCTCCCTCTGTCAAGATCTTTCAAGAAAAATTGCTAGTTTGTAACCAGCCCCCTAAAGCCAAAACCCATGAAGCACACAATATTCTAAGTATTGTCTGATCGGTTGTGAGTATAGATTCTAACTTCCTGTGACCTACCTGATACTTCCATCATTATTGCTGAATGCTGTAGTCATAAAAAGATTGTTCATCTTTTTTAATATATAGCAACCACATCATATTGTATTCCCATAATATGCCGAAGGTCATTTTAACCTTCCAAATCCTTTTCATATAAGAATCACTGCCAAGGCAGGACTTCCCCAGCCCAAACTTAGACAGGTGGCTTTTTGAACTTAAAAAGAGAATCGACCATTTATTGCTCTCGCCTTGCATCTTACGGAGCTCTGGTGGAGCAGTGGTTTATGCGTTGTACTGCTAACCACCCAGTTAGCAGTTTGAATCAACTAACTGCTGCTCCATGGGAGAAAGATGAAGCTTTCTACTCCTGTATAGATTTAGAGTCTTACAAACCTGCAAAGGTAATTCTGTGGTGTCCATAAGGTTGCTCTGAATCAGAATTTACATGATGGCAGTAAAATTTTTTTTAAACCTTTCATCTTAATGGTTGGTTTGCCGTCTCCAACCCCAACCATACTATACCCTCCCTAGTCCCCAAGCCCTGGTCCCCATACCTTCCCTGAGATGGGAGCAGCTTCAAGAGTGCCCATTACCAGGTTCTCCTCTGAGTCCTGAGCCATTCCTGTTCTCAGCCTGCTAGGAAGCTTTCCTCTGTAGCTCTGGCTGAGCTCTTTCCTCAGGCTCTTGCTGAGAAATTTGTACCGAAGAGCAGTGGGTAGGAAGCAGCAAGGGCTTCAGGAGATTCACCTTTGGGGGCCTTTGAATGGGGGCTAAGAAGCAAAAGGGATGTGGACTAGGAGGCTTCAGGAGCCTAAGAGGTGCCCAGAATGGCACTCTTTGGACTGCAGCATATTCCACCCACAGCCATGGTTGGGTGGGCCAGAGGTCCAGGGGTACCCCCACTCCTCCCCAAATTGAGCTAGCTTTTTCTGGGATCTTCCTTCTACACTCGTGTGTGCAAGCTTTTCCCACCCCCTTACCCCCCACCCCCAAGAACTCCTGGGTCCAAGGTAAGCACTTGGCTCAGGGACAATTTAAGGAAACCGCAAAAGTCATGGGGGATAATAAAGGAGGGGAGGTGGAGGGAGCCAGGGACAGTGGCTGGCTCAGACAAAACCAGCCAGGGTATGCTTAGAAACAGCTTTACTGCTGTTTGCTGGCTGTAGCCCAGCTCTCCTCCGGACAGAAAACCAGGATGGAAACAGCAGCGGGACTTTTGTAGCTCCCCCAGCTTTATGCTTTGTTCTCCCGCGGATTCCAAATTGGGAAATGATGCGCCAGTTAGAGGACTCAGCTTTGCCTGAGTGGGAAAAAAAAGTGTGAGTGTGGCCACTAATAGGGTGAGACCTTGTCACAGCAGGGGCTGCACTCCTGCCCACTGCTGGCTCACATGGGCAACTCACTCCGTCCCCACCCCTAGATTGATAGCTGTCCTGCACAACTCTAGGCTGTGACCCCCAACTTCCGCCCCAGGCCAGCATCAATAGGTTTCTGGTGTGGGGGGCTCAGCCTAGGTTTGTGGCTGCTGTGCTGAGCCCCTACCCCCCACCCCATAGGTTGCCAGACAGGATTCTTCTGCCTGCTGCCTTCATAGCATGTCCTTCAGTGCAGAGATGAATGAGCAAAAGGCTGCGCTGTCTCTTTGTTCTCTCATGTCAAAGATTCTTGCAACCCCTGGGCCCCCCTACCTCTGTCGTCTCCCGCGTGGCAGGGCCCCGTTACACCCCCATGTCTGTTTGCAGCACTTCATGCATTTCTCTGAGAGGTCAGTTGTGTTTGGCAAGCATGGGGGTGGGTAGGAAGAGACTGTCTGCAAAAGTCTCGCCTGTGGTTTGTATCATTGTTTGCCTTCAGCAACCGAGTGATTGTTCAGGGAAGCACTGATCCAACCATATTGTGTAATTCAAGAGACTGGTGTTCCACTCCACAACCCCTATGTTTCCCAGGGCCCCACCCCCACGCTGCGGGCACTGGCTCCTGTGGGGAGGTTGGTTAGGGTCAGCTCCCCTTAGTTTCTGCCTCTGCACTTGAGCTGGGGCCTGAGGGGGCTGGTGGCAGGAAGCAGGATGGGGCACCTTAAGAGTCCTTGGGGTTTCAGGTGGTAGGTAATTAATGGAATGGGGCAGAGGGAAAGATTAGGAGGAGCTCTGAGGACCCCAACTGGGGAGGCGGTGAAGGGCGGGCCAGGGTCTCGCATAGAAAGGTTGTGCCAACTCTGGTCCTCAGCAATGCAATGTGAACCTGCTCACCGGCTTCAGGGACCTCCATTTAGCAACGGCTTTCCTTGCCATTTCTTAGGTTCTTCGTGAGCTTGTACACTTCCCTCCAAGATTTACTCACCATTGCAAATGTCCTCTCCAGTGAATTGCCTTTTCGTGGTCATCTCCCCACCCCCACCTCACCCCCGCCCCCACTGAGGTCTGAAGAGTTTTCTTAACACTTCGAGTGAGCTCTTGTCCCAATAATGATTCCACTCCCAAGTCTGCAAGGGGAGGTGAATATATCTTCATTCCTCTTCCTGACACGGAGCCCCGGTGAAAGTGTCCATGGAGTCAAGACACTCCTGATTTGCTGTTTCTGCTTCCAGAAAAGTGTAAATCCTTCAGGCTTCACGTCCCTGAGAACACGTTACTGGTGAACTCAATGCACACTGTATGCTAAGCCCCAAGCTGCCTGCTTTACAGTCATGTCACCCTCAAAACCAGGTATAACAGAGGTAATATTAAAATACTGAGGTTTGGAGAGATCATGCAGCTTGGCCGTCATCCACAGCTAGTCAGTCATGTCTGTCTTAGAACTTAGGCCCCAAGGTTGATAGCCCATTTTCGATGTGAGCATTGGGAGTCTGAGAAGCTGTTTGGAAGCTGAGCCCCAAAGTCTGAGCCCCAGCCAGCTACCCCAGACCTCGGGTCCAGTAGCAGCTGGATGACATCATTCCTTCAGCAATCTGGGCTCCTCTTTCCACTGCAGCCTTGCAGCCTTGCTCCCCAGCAGGGGTTTGGGGAATGCCTGCATTTGTCCTACCGGTGGGGAGGGAAGGGGCCCATAGCTCCTGCCCTCTGCTCACAGCTGGGGCTGAGGTAACCATGCAGCTGTTTTTAAAAGCCATTGGGCGCCACTGGGCTGCTATTCTGAGGACCAGCTGCCTCCTGTCTCCCACCCCCAGCCCCCAGCTCTTGTGAGCTCTTGTGCAGAGTTGGAATACTTGGGGAGTTGGCCCCACGACAGAACCGAATCACTCTGGCACCACTCCGTGGGGGCGCAGAGATGGGGGCGTCTCTTAGGTACCTGGTGAGTCTTGGGGATAGTTTTTCTCACTCAGCAGTTTTCTATTAAATAGGTGTGAGCAGCACGTTTGCATATAGCGATTAGCTCATGTCCTAATTAGCTGTACAATTTCTCTCCGCCCTCACCCTCCTCATTCTGTAACTGGCATAGAGCTTGGGACAGTGTTTGTTCCCCTCTCCCCTTCTCTTCCATCTCTGGGGGGGCTCCAGCGCCCACTTCCACACAAGCCCTGTGCGATCAGAAGGTGTTACTGAAAACAAACTATAAAACCAGGACAGACTAGGTGTGTGCAAGGATGGAAACACCGTGACACACTTCATATTTTGTGTCTGTGGGGGTGGGGGAGGGCTATGCGACCAACAGTTTGATTAGGAACAACCTTCTTGCGCCCCAAAATGACTCTCCGAGATGGGAATGCAATCTGTGTGGGCTGAGAAGTGCACGGGTGTGCGCACTCAGGCACCCACCCTCTGTCGCTCCTGCACTCACTTTGGCTGTGCGCAGGAAGTGTGACCGGATTCCTTTAGACGGAAGAGGGGCAGGTGCTGAGTAAGACATTTCAAAACTAGGAGAGACTAGAGGCATCGAGACAAAAAGAATGCCCACCAGCTGTTCATTGACTTAAATGTGGCAAAGTTTACTTAAATGCTTCTTCTATATAAGAAGCATGAAACGTTGTTGCCGACCACTGGCTGACTCCGGGGGCAGGCATACCTTCCTGCAACCCTGGGGGCTTGAGCCAAGAGACAGTCATGGAAAGGGAACCTCCTGGGCAGGGTCGGGCCTTGGTGCGCAGCCAGCCTCCTGGTCCCACTCCAAGGCTGGCCCGAGTCTCTTCACCAGCAGCTTCTTCTATCAGCTAAGCGCTAAATCCCCAGGGCCTCCCTTTCCCTGTTTGCCTTGAGGATGGAACTAATCTGTCCTGCAGCCCCTTCGGCTCCTCCTAAGCAGCTTAAACCTGGAGGAGCCTCCTCCCTCCCTTCCCCAGCAGCCGGACTACTAAAGCTCCAGGCCCCGGGAGCTGAATTTCTTTTTCATCAAGGACTCCTGCCCCACCAGAGAGGTAGTGGCCCAGGCGACTTGAGAAACATCTTCTAGGGGAAATGAATCAGAAAGCTCCCCTGGCCATTGTTCCTTGTGCTGTTTGCACTTGCTTTGCAGGATTGCTCAGAGCTAAGGAGCTGAGGGGGTGTCTTAGGAAATCCCAGAGAAGTGGTGCTTTTCTCCCCCTCTCCAGCCTTGGCCTGCCTTTGATCCTCTCTTCCCAACAGAGATCAGAGCTCCAGTTAGAGCTTCAATTTGTGGACACCGAGCCAGGAGCCCTGGTGGCGCCCTGGTTAAGCACTCGGCTGCTAACGGAAAGGTCAGCGGTTCGAGCCCACTAGCCACTCCATGGGGGAAAATGACGCGGCACCTTACGCCCGTAGAGATCACAGCCTTGGAAATGCTGTGGGGCAGTTCTACTCTGCCCTATGGGGTTGCTACGAGGAGAGTGGGGACCCAAAGGCAGAGCTCACTAGGCTGCACAGGGCAGTAAGTGGGAAAGATGACGCACATGAAGTCAGAGGAGGAAGGCTCAGCTGGGAAGTGTCAAGAACAAAGGGGAGTCTTTCTTAACCCCCCTTGGGGCTGGTCTCAGGTGATGGGGCCCAGTGGGTGTTGGAACTCTGGAAGAGGAGTGTTGAGGAGAAGAGGATCCAGTAGCACAAGCGGCACTTCCGTAGGACACCGTTCATCTGTGTTTCAATAAAGGTGCCCCAGAGGGGAGTACACAGGAGTCGCCAGCATTTCTAAACCCATCCTGCACCGGGCTTGGTGGAATCTGCATAGGCTCCTGTGAGGGAGATCTGCCCTCCTTAGATTCACAACACCTGGTGGACAGCAGAGAAGCCATGTGACCCAGAGCCGCGTGTGAGTGGAGGAGCTCATAGAGGCCAATTGCGGTGAGGGCCTTGTGGAGGACACATGGCCGCATCACGACAGCCACCTGCTCCCAGCCCTCGGGAGTGTCCAGCCCAGGGCAGCTCCGGGTTCACAAACCCTTCCTTCTTTCTCTCCACAGCCATCCATACCCCAGGTTCCAAACTACAGGCTCTCAATGACGATGCCCGACTGGCTCCAGGCCATCCAGAATTACATGAAGACCCTGCAGTATCCTTCCAACCAGCGGCTGAGCAGACCAGCCAGGGGACCCGGGTGGTCATCTCCAGCCTGGCAGAATGTCTGCCCCAGCTGGTCCGCAGAAGTTCCCCAAGGTTGGTGAGGCCAGACGTGGAGGGCCAGCCTTGCAAAAGAGAGCCAGTCTGGTGTTGGGTGCTGTTGAGTGAATGCTGACTAAGTGTGCCCCCCCATATCCCCAGAGTAGACCGCTTCCTAGGGGCTCGGCTGCAGTCACTGTGGCCGCGCATCAGCAGGTAGTCCTCCTGGGGAGCTGCGAGGTGGTTCAAACCACCAGCCTTTTGGTTCGCAGCCAAAGTACTTCCCTGCTCTGCCTCCTGGCCGCCTTCAAGAGAGACCAGGAGGAGTGTGGACAGCGGATTCGATCGCAGTGGCCTCCCCCTTCTCCTGAAGCCCACGTGGTGAGGTTAGTCTCACGTTGAGCTGCTAACGAAAGGGGAGCAGTTCGAACCCACCAGAGCAGATTCAGTCTTGGAAACCCAAAGGGGCACTTCTACTCCCTCCTCTAGAGTTGCCCTGAGTCTGAATCGATCCCATGCCAGTGGGGTAACCTTTCCCCCTTCGCGGGTTCAAGCAAGGCTGCTCACGGGTGGTGACCTCTAACCTGATCCTCCTCCCATCCCTTGGGCTGCTCATGGTTCCCTCCTTTCCCCCATCCCTCCCTCCCCTTCCCTCGGACCCGCTATGCCATCCGCCTCCCCTTTCTCTACTTCTATCCCCTCTGCCATCTTCATTTTCTTTTTCCCTTCCTGATCTCTCTTTCCTCCTGGTCGCCTCTTCCTCCTCCATTCTTGCTCACTTCTTTACCTTCTCCCCTGACCGGACACTGCCGAGGTGACACAGGCTGATGCTCTGGCTCGGTTCTTCGAGAACGGACGGACGGGACTCCGGCATGGAGGCTTCAGCTCCCACTGCAGCTTGAAGGAGAGCTGAGGAGCCCTGTGGGTCCAAGCTGTTGGTCCTGTCCTTCTGTCTTGTCCTCACGGTGTTTGCATTCCCATGAGCTCACTTCTGACATTACTCCCTCCCTCCCCCCAGGTAGACTGGGAGAACACTGCTGTAGCAACAGGTGGTCACTCTACTCACCACTTGTGGTATTTTGTTAGAGATAGGGGTCAGCTGGGGAGCAGAGATGTATGAGGGGCTTCAGAAAGTTCCAGGATTTTGTCCACTTAGCCAGATGTGAGGGACAGTTCTCTGCCCCATGCAGGTCAGCAAGCCCCATAGAATTAACCCAGGATTATACTACTTACTGAGGTGGCTGACCCACCCCAAGCCCAAAGCACATTGGCCTCTGTGCTTGTCTTATAAGATACAAAACTTAGCCTGTTCTTCAAAGCACCAAGCACACTAGCTTAATTTCTTTTCTTTCTTTTTTTTAAGATCTCTTGCTCTTGTTTGTTTTTGTTTTTTATAAATCAGTTTATAGAGGGATCTTACAGCTTTTATAACAATCCATGTATCAATTGTATCAAGCACATTTGTACATACATTGTCATCATCATTTTCAAAACATTTTTTGTGTTATTTTTTTTAATTTGTTTATTGTGGGTTAAATGATGGTTTTACACTTTTTGTCCCTTTGTTTCAATATGTTTGTGGTTTTTTAAGTCATTTTATTATGGCCTCATACAACTCATCACAATCCATACATACATGTACATCAATTGTGTAAAGCACATTTGTACATTCATTGCCCTCATCATTCTCAAAACATGTGCTCTCCACTTAAGCCTATGGCAACAGCTCCTCAATTTTTCCATTCCTTCCCCACTCCCCGCTCACTCATGAACCCTTGATAATTTATAAATTACTATTTTGTCATATCTTGCCTTGTCCAATGTCTCCCTTCACCCACTTTTCTGTTGTCCGTTCCCCAGGGAGGAGGTTATATGTAGATCCTTGTAATCGGTTCCCCCTTTCCAACCCACCCTCCCTCCACCCTCCTGGTATCGCCACTCTCATCACTGGTCTTGAAGGGATCATCCATCCTGGATTCCTTGTATTTCCAGTTCCTATCTGTACCAGTGTACATCCTCTGGTCTAGCCAGATTTGTAAGGTAGAATTGGGATCATGATAGTGGAGGGGCGAGGAAGCATTTAGAAACTAGAGGAAAGTTGTATGTTTCATCATTGCTACACTGAACCCTGACTGGCTCATCTCCTCCCCGCAACCCTTCCGTAAGGGGATGTCCAATTCCCTACAGATGGGCTTTGGGTCTCTACCCCGCACTACCCCTCATTCACAATGATATGATTTTTTGTTCTGATGATGCCTGATACCTGATCCCTTCAATACCTCATGATCACACAGGCTGGTGTGCTTCTTCCACGTGGGCTTTGTTGCTACTGAGCTAGGTGGCCGCTTGTTTACCTTCAAGACCCCACATACTATATCTTTTGATAGTCGGGCACCATCAGCTTTCTTCGCCACATTTGCTTATGAACCCATTAGTCTTCAGCGATCATATTGCACACAATGATATGATTTTTTGTTCTTTGATGCCTGATAACTGACCCCTTCCAAAACATTTTCTTTCCACTTGAGCCCTTGGTATCAGATCCTCTTTTTTCCCTCCCTCTTCCACTCTCTACCCTCAGGACTCCCTGGTAAATCATAAATTATTATTTTGATATCTTACACCATCTTCTGTCTTCCTTCACCCACATTTCTGTTGTCCATCCCCCTCCAGGGTATATCGATCATTGTGATTGGTTCCCTCTTTCTCCTTCTCCCCCAAACATTCCCCTACCCTTGTGGTATCACTACTCCCATTACTGTTCCATGTGTCTAGAGTTCTTATCTGTACCAGTGTACATGCTGTGGTGTAGCTGGATTTGTGAGGTAGAACTGGGGTTGTGATAGTGGGGGTAAGGAAACATTGAAGAATTAGAGGAATGTTGTGTGTTTTGTCGGTGCTGTACTGCACCCTGGCTGGCTTGTCTCTTCCTTGTGACCCTTCTGTGAGGGGATGTCCAGTTGTCTACAGATGAGTCTCTACTCTAACCCCCCTCATTTGCACTGATATGATTGTTTTGGGTTTTCTGATGCCTGATACCTAATCTTGTGGACACCTTGTGATCACATAGGCTGATGTGCTTCTTCCATGTGGGCTTTGTTGCTTCTCTGCTATATGGCCACTTGTTTAACTTGAAGTCTTTAAAACCCCAGATGCTATATCTTTTGATAGCGGGGCACCATCAGCTTTCTTCACCACATTTGCTTATGCACCCATTTTGACTTCAGCGATCACGTCAGGAAGGTGAGCCTCGCAGAATGACTGACTTGATTTCTGTTGACCTGTCCAAACCCAGCCTTTCTGAGTCAGAAAGGATTTCAGGAGCCTCCATACCTATATTTCACAAGCCTTGAGAGCACGTCCTCTCTGCTATAGACAAGGATCTTTCCTGGGAATTTTTCAGTCTTCCCTGAAGGGACCTAACACCAGTGCCTCCTCTATAAACTGTATTACCAGGCAAGAGTGAAGCTTGTCGCTGCTTGTTCTGGTGGTGCTGTTATTAGGTCCCCTGGTCAATTCCAAGTCATGGCACCTCCATGGATAGCAGACAGAAACACTGCCAAATCGTGTGCCATCCTCACCATTGTTAAGTTTGAGCTCATCATTGTAGCCACTGACATTCCATCTCCTTGAGAGTCTTCCTTTGTATCCCTGCTGCCTCTGCATTTTACCAGGCATGATGTGCTTCTCCAGGGACACTCCTCTCCTGACAATGTGTCCAAAGTACATGAGATGAAGGCCCATCATCCTGGCTTCTAAGGAGCGTTCTGCTTGTACTTCTTCCAAGACAGATTTGCTTGTTCTTTTGGCAGTCCATGGTCCTTTCAGGTTGGTGGAAAAGTTCATTGATTAACTTTAGTTTCCACTTTCAGGATCATGAGCTTCCGTGCATGGCGTTGTCTAGCAAAATCTTGGAAAGCTCTTCTATAGAGAAGGGGGCACCAGCCTCTAGGGGTGAGGTGGGAAACTCTCGCTGGGGGAAGGCTGGCTGGTGTTGCTGCTGGTCTGCAAACCAGAAATCCCTGTGGAGAGTTCCACAAACTCCTGCAGAGTACATCTGGACTCCGGAGCCAACCATGTCTGGAAGTGACTGGCTCCTCACAGAATATTCCAGAGGAATTAGAATGACACCACCCCCCCCCACCCCCTGACCAATTCTTTAGCAACATGGTCTCCATAAGGATTATCTGGCCGGAGATTTCAGAGAATGAGCCAGGGAAGCATTAATAAAGGCGTCTTTTTTATCTAGTGCTGCTAGCACAGAAATCAAACATTAGTGACCCAGCAGGCAAGTTGATCTTGTCACAGGGCTCCAGTTCTAGGGGTTCTGGAAGGAGGTCCCTGTCTCTTTGAGCTGCTCCTGCTGAGTGATAGTCATGTGACTTGGCATCTCTGCCTCCCAGCTCTGTTTCCTAGCTTGTTTGTTCAATCTCTTTTACATCTCAAGAGATTGCCCCAAGAGAGTCCCATCGTGCCTCATTAACATACAAGGACAGCCCCTTCCCAAACTGGATTATAGCCACAGGCATAGAGGTTAGGGTAGAAAGGGCAAGTTTGCTCCAGGTTTCCACAGCATTGGCTCAGACTGACATAGCTCCTGCAGCACATTCTCCGTCAGGGTCTCTGGTGGTTCTGCACCAATGTGATGATCATGTGTCTTCTACACTATGGACTTGTAGTGAGGGCCAGTGGAGAGGAAGCCTAGGAAGGCTACTGGAGGTGTGCTTCTGGTCACCTGATGAGCAGAGCCACCACAAAAGGAAGGTGGAGTGTGAACTCTCCCACCTTCTGACCAGATTCTCCTTCTAGTTTGTCCAGGCTGCTGGCTGGTTTGTTCTGGGCATGGTGACAAGAGTATGGGGACTGATTGGGGCCAGCCCTGATTATTGATAGGCTCAGCTGGCAGTGGAAGTGTGGAAGGGCAAAACTTGTCTGTCCCTCTGACAGCCTCTGAGTATATTGACCAGGAGGAGGGCTGGTCTTGCATGAGGTTCCTCAAAGAGGTGCTACTTTCTCTGTGCAGGATGGGGAGAAAGAAGGCTTCTGGGGGTGAACTGATCTCCTTCTAAAAAACCTGCCATTGAAAGTCCTCGAGAGCACGCTTCTACTCTGGGACATACGGGTGGCCAGGAGTCAGGACTGACTCAAAGCATCTGTTTCTTTCTGGCCTGGCTCCTGTGCAGGGTCAACATCACGATGGTTAGCTAATATGAAGATTACTTCATTGACGATGGCCTCGCTTCACATCATGCCCTACCTCTACGTATCCATGGAGAGAAAGTCGGGCGTAAAACTGAACTTTTTTATTTTACATATGCCTCTACTTTAAATGAAACTTCCCTGCCCGAAAAGAATCTTTAGGAAAGTAAAAACTAAACAAACAAAAAGGTTTCTTCACCATGAGAATATTGAATCCTTTGCTTTTATATTTACCTCTGGGATTTGGGATATTGATATTTTTATAAAGTTTAGAACAGCTGTCGGGGACCTGGGTGGGGCCAGCCCTGATTATTTATAGATGTGCGCAGCCGGCCTTGGGGATAGAGAAGGATGGAAAGAGAGATGCCACATTAGCTCTGTTGGATGGGGAGGAGGCTTCTGAGGGTGAACTTGGGTTATTCTAATGACCCAAGGTAGGAACACCTCAACCAATGAGCTTGGTAAAATCCATCCCCTGCCCTCACCTGGAGTTTACCATTGAGCAGTCTGAGGGGGGAGACTGAAAGGCACTCAGAACCATGGCCTGGATCAGTCTCTGAGCCTGGAGCCCAGAATCTGCTGTAACAAGCTCCCCTGGCGGTTCTTGTGCACACTCATGTCTGAGTAGCCAGGAATGTCAGTCTCAGGGGGGGCCACTCCTGCCGTCCTCCCACAAACCCTCAGCCATCATGTTGATTCCGACTCATGAAAACAGGATAACACAGAAAAGCTGCTCCTTAAGGTTTCTGAGACTTTCAGTCATTACGGGATCAGCCAGCCTCCTCTTTCCCCTTCAGAGCAGCTGGTAGGTTTGAACCACTGATTTTGTGGTTAGAAGCCCAGTGCTTACTTCTTTGCGCCATGAGGGTGCCTTCCAGCCTTCTCCAGAAGGGTGGGATTCTACTATTGAGCCCCCAGTGCCTAGTAGCCTCTAGGAACTCAGCACCCCCTCCTGTGGCTGCCTGGCAACCTCTAGGGGTGCACAGCTACTCTCCCACCTCCCGCCCGGGCTGCAGCAGCTCCACATGCACAAGTTCACACTCCGGCTCGACCTCCCCACTCTCTGTAGGATTTTGTTCAAGGGAAGAGAAGGGAATGCACAAAACAGCATTGCTTTAGGTTCAGAAAAATGCCATCTCAGAACACAGGACATCCAGGAACCTTCGGTGGCCTTGAGAATGACCCGGTGCATGCCTGCCAGTCGCTGATAGCACAGGGGCGGCCAGCTAACTCCCAGGTTGTGGCACATGGTGTCACTTTCCCACATTCAGTTTTCAGGGAAGTCCCTCCACAGTGAGCTCCTTCCTGCCTTGTGCTTTATGGAGAAAACCTACTACCACCCATCCATTTGTCCTTCCTGCCTTTCCTTTCTTCCATCCCTCCCTCCCGCCCATCCAGCCAGCCAGTCATCCATTCATTACTGATTTTTACATCGTGTTTGCTAACTAGCATACGTTATAACTCGTGGCAGGCTTTCAGGGTGTTATAAATAAAGAAATGGCCCCAACTCTCTAAGAGCCTAGTAAGTGATTTAAGACATGGATTCAACTAACTAGAAAGGCCAAGCTGATCAGAAAGAGCCACTGTGAAAGGTACAGGGTGTTATGGGATCCAAGTGAGCAATAAGCTTTCAGGACAGAACAGTGAGCAGTTAGAGGCTGTTGGCTACTCCTTGGCTACTGGACACATCTGGAAAGCCTCCCCCCCTGTCCCCGCCACCCCCCCCAACTTCCCATGCAGTGAGAAGTCAGAATGTGCCATGTCCTCTGCTGGATTCCCAGAACCTCTGGCATGTCCTGCTCCTTTCCCTTGACTTAACTCCACACAGATACAATCATACAGGGACCCAGTTCTTTGAAATTAGGAAAATGAGACCGCTGAGCGGGTAAGTGATGCATGGTGTGGGGGCCAAAGGCCCGTCTCCCGCCAAGGCCTGCCAACTCCTGTCCCTGCCCCTGTTGCCCAGTGTATGAATGTCCTGGTCTCTAAAGGGGTGGGGATGGATAGTGTTGCCCAGGGCCAGGTAGGAGGTGGCCTTGGTTACTCTGACCATGAGGTTTCATGGTGAGGACTCCTTCAGGGGAGCAGGGAGGCCTGTGACATCTTGCATGAGCCTCCTTTCCTTGCTCTTTCACAAGCTGTTGGAAATGACCCTGAGTTGGGGCAATGGGAGGGAGCTGTGAAAATTTAGCACTAACTTCCAGGACTGAAGTCCTGGTGAGAGGAGTGGAGCATTTTGGATTTTAGTGTGGCCATGCGCAGACATGTTTCATGCCCCTCAACCCCTAAAAAATAAGTTCTCCCCTTTTTATTCCTGCATGGTACCTCGGGTGGGGGCAGGCATGCTGATGGATTGGCAGACAGACTGACCACCTGCAAAATTACCTAAGTTGTGACATTGAAATCCTCTGATGTGATCTCTCTTTACAGGTTAATGGAAACTGCAAAGGAAATGACCAGAGAGTCCTTGCCTATCAAATGTCTCGAAGCTGTCATCTTGGGCATGTATCCTTTGGGGTTCACAGGCTTCCTTGTACACTTCTGATGGCAGCCTCCCCATGGGGCTGGTTGTACCTCAGATTCTAGGTTGTGATGATGGCCCTTCCTCTCCTGGGAGAAAAGCTTCAAGTTTTGTTGGTGCTTCTCTTTAACTTTCAGTACCTGGAGTTGAATCAACCTGTTAACTCTCCTCTCCATCAGGGCCAGCCTCCAGGCCATGGCGCTGCAGAGTCACTCATCAAAAGTAGAATTCTAAAGGAAAGGAGTGGAGAGTGCCTATGTGATCATTGCTTGCATTCATTTGGAATGCAACAGAAAAAGACCTCTGAGAGCAAATGTATTCACAGGGCTGAGGAGACTGGTATCCAAATGTATCTCAGGAAACCTGTAGGTGTGACTTGAGGAGACCAAATAATGGCGCGATTGAAGAATCCCATGAGCTGTGGGTCCAAGCTATAAGGGATAAGGAACACAGAGCTGAGAAAAGGGTCTGGTCTCTCCCTTACTTTTTGTTCCATTTTCCACCAGATTCCTGGCTCTAGTAAAGTGGGTTTGAGCCAGGAAAAACCCGTGGTGTCACTAACTTATTAATAATCATGGTGGCAGTAGAACAGGATCAGGTAGAAGAACAAAGGCACACCTAGATGTCTGGGTGGACGACAGAGACAGGGTCAGAGGGAGAAGAAGACATGAGTTTGAGAGGTGATGAGCTTGAGAGGTTCCAGGCAAGATTGGCTAGATTCTCAAGTGCTATGCTACGAGATGTAACCTTTTCCCAAATATAGTCAAGAACCCAACTGAAAGCTTTGAAGCGGAAGAGTGACAGGACCAGATTTACACATAAATAGATGATCTTAGGATGGATGTTGAGGAGTAGGCTGGAATTGTGATCTGCAAAGACAGAAGCACTTGCTATTGTTGTTGTTGTTAGATGCCACTGAGTTGATTGTGACTCATAGTGACCCTGTGTGACAGAGAAATGGTGATGTGTGAAACAAGGTCTTAGCAGTAGGGCTGGAGTTGAGGAGATGGTTCAAGTGATCTCAAGGGTAGAATTCACCAGGCAGTGTTCCCTTCTGTTGTATAGGGAGGGGCTGGGAGTTGGAGCTGACTCGCAGCACCCAACAATGACAACATACCTGTAACCATGACCCTGTTTGGAAATAGGGCCTTGCTTTCATTATGTTAATAAAGTCATATCAGTTT